GGGCCGGGGACGGAGGGGAGGCGTGGGGGGGGGTGCCGGGGACGGAGAGGGGAGGCGGCGGGGGGGGGGGCCGGGGAGGGAGAGGGGAGGCGGCGGGGGGGGGGGGGCCGGGGACGGAGAGGGGAGGCGGCGGGGTGGGGGGCGCCGGGGACGGAGAGGGGAGGCATCGTCCCAGGGCCCGCGTGGCTCACCGTGGCTCACCCTGGCGGCGCGGAGGGCTCCGGCCCGGGCCTCGGCGGGGGAGAGGCTTTTGGGGTCCGGGAGCGCACAGCCGGGGGCAGCAGGGCCGATCTGAGCGCAGGAGGGACCGGCCCGTAGCCGGGCAGGAGAACCACATTTGTCATCCTAAATCTCCTGGTAGGTAACAAGTAACAGCCAAAATTACCTGCTTAACAGTACATTTGATTTGACCCCATAGGTACATCATTCAACATGTAACTGGCATTGGACCTCATCCGTGACACTCTTTCACAGGAACGCTTTGCACGGGCACCTGCCTCTCGCGGCTGCTCACAGGCCGCGCTTCCAGCGGTCAGCAGCCCCGCGTGGCCCGTGGTCACCGTGCAGACGGAGCAGCCACTCCAGAGGGTTTTGTGGACACAGAGTGGGGGTGACCGGGGCCCTGGCAATTGGCCCCAGCAAGGCCAGCCTCCAGCTTCTGAGCAAACCGCCAAGGCAGTGCGCAATGGCGTCCAAAGGGGCATTTTCTGTTTAGAAACACACCCGCTGGCGGGACCGGGCCGGGAGGATGGTGCTGCAGGCTGGGGCTCAGCACCTCCAGGGTTCCTCCTCACAGCTGCCACTAAGCCTGACTCTAGCAAAATGTCTACTTTATTCAGTGGGTGCCTGCTGCAGACTGAATTGTGCCACCCTCAGAATTCATGCGTTGAAGCCCTAACCCCCATGTGATTATTCGGAGCTGGGCTGTCGGGGATAATTAATATGAAGTCCTGCAAAGGCTTGGTGTTTAATAGAAAGAGGTCAGTGCTCGCCCCACCCTCACATGTGCATAAGAGGCGGCTGTGCGCGGGAAACTTCACCCCAGCCAGCCACAAACCCCGCACCAGAAACCAGCGCTACAGGAACTTGATCTTGGACTTCCAGCCCCAGAACCATAAGAAGTAGACGGCTGTCACTGCAGCTTCCCGTCTGTGGTGTTTCACTGCAGCAGCCAGAGCTGACTGATGTATGTAGTCTCTTATTTTTCAACAGAATCAGCACGTGGCAAGGGCACCCTTAATAGAAACCAAATATGGGGTGTCACTGGTGCCTGGAACGTGCTTGCTGAGAAGGGGCATTGCCTCTTCACCTCTCCCCACAGGCTGCCCCTCACAGCCTGCCAAGGTGGCATCCCCACCCCCTGTGCCCTCCTTGCTCCCTCCTCCTCCTCTCCTCACCAGCCAGCTCCTGCCATGCCTGGCCATTGACCTCTGCCCTTCTTGCAGGCAGCCACCTCCGCTTTCCCATGCACCCCTCACCCACCACAGGTTCAGCCCCTCACAGTTCTCCTGTCTCCTGTTTCCTGTGCCCATTACCAGAGCCTCCAAAACCCAAGGGCTGTATCCTGGACCTCCCACTTCAGCATCCACTGCTCTGGGCATAGCCCGGATTTTTCATCACCAATGACCACACCAAGCTCAAATCCCCACCACCTCCTCTCCTTCAGTTTCACTTCTGTGGGGCCTCATGGAAACCTGCAGCCCGTGCTGCTCCCATGCTTTCACTAGCCACCCGCCCCCAGCCACACATGTGCAGACCCACACACCCATCTGCATGCACGTGCACACCTCTTCTTCCTATGCGCCCACTCCCTCACCTCTCCCTGCCCCCCTGCACTCACCCAGATGGCCCCCCAGGACTGATTCCTCGCTTACAGTGAACCTGCACCTAAATTAGAGAAGGGGCATTAGGGGAAAAACTAGAGAACAGCTCATTCCCATCCCCCTGGCGTCCCTCAAGTCCCAGGCACACCTACGCTGAGCACTGGGCCCTTTGGTTCTGCACGTGTGCTCTCCACCACTCCAAGATGCCACTGCAGCCTTCCCTCCTCTGACCACCAGCCACCTTCCCTGGAGGACACCTTTGCCCTTGGCTGAGGAAGGATTTGCAGTCTGGGATTTTCCCACTGTCAACCTGAATAACAGAGAGAGACTCTAAAACAAAATGAGATTTATTCGGGAACGTTCATTGCAATCAAATATATGTGCCTTCGTAAATTGGGTGTGGGTCAAGGAAGGTAAAGGAAAACAAAGGTTTTCAAAGGATAAAGGAGGATTACATCATTGTTGTGAGTCAATGATCCTTGGCTACAACCATCTCCAGGAAGGATGGTGCCAGTCTGAGGCTGGACAGGCAGCTCCTGGGCAGATGTCCTCCCAGAAGTGTTTCGTTGTGAGTTGTGACAGTCTTTGTGCAAGGCTGTGATTTCTGCCGTCTCTTGTGATCGTTCTTGCTATCAGGCATGTGCACAAGAACCCTCCCTTCTTGGCCTTCCACCATCTGTATGTCAGGGTTTTTAATACCAGTGACTCCATTTGGATTCTGGCAGTGTTCATAGCACTAAGTGGACAGGTCCAGCATCTGGTGGCTGCCCTGCGCCTCCTCCATGCTGCTACATGGGTCACATCGGCAGTTCACAGCATGCTGTGGGGTCTCAGAACTCTGGAAGCCCTCCAGCCTATGCCCATCCATCTTCCTCCCCTCTCTCTGCCCCACATACCAGTGGACCACTCTTCCAGGCCCTCAAATTGTGCTGCTCATGCCCACGCACCACTGGGTCATCCTAATTCAGAGGCCAGCCCCCAGGCCTGATCACAGCTGACATTCCAATGTGGCTGACCCCTGACTCCCTCCTGGAAGTGAGCTTGGCCCTGGCGTCTGTGGCATTCCTGCTCTTCCCTCTCACCTGTGCTGACCACCCCCGGTCTCTGCTGCCTCACTTCATACTCACCCGAGTCCTGGGGTCGTGGCTGTGCCCTTCCTGTGTTCACCTCCCGGCTGACCTTGCCGGCCCTCACCTGAGGTCATGTTGGCATGCCGACTGCTGCATGAGCATGGTAGACCTGTCACTGTGCCCAGGGCAGGACTCTCCTATGTTCAGAAAGACAGACACTTGCATTACCTGTGTTAAAAGCCACACTCATGAAACCAGGTGAGAGGGAGGATGCCTCTCCCTGGTGTGCCCTTCTTCACCCTTGAAATATTGCCCCGTGCCTTTGCTCCTTTGCCAAAGTAATAAGTTTCCTGAAGCCCGGCTTACCTGGCTTAAGGAGAGCCTGGGCCCACCTGGCCTTCAAGGGGCAGAGAGGGAGGTGGGAAGCAGAGCCTGCCCGATTTTCCTCCTCCTACCATGGATCAATTCCTCAGCAGCTGCCAACCCTCTCCAGCCTGGTCAGCCACTTGAGCCAATGCTCTTGGTCTCCCAGGAGGGAAATTCAGCCCAAGTCTTTTATTAAACAACAGTATGTTGTAAGCTTTTTAAAAAGAACAGCACATTAGCCACTATCACATTGTTACTTAGTTTAAGACAGTAATCAGTTGACTTATGGATTCATAGTTCTCAGAGGCTTACAGCCAGCTTCCCTCACGATGTCCACAGCACACTGAGAAGGCGCCGGCAGCATGTGTCCAGCACTGCACAGCCGCAAAGTGCGTTTCAATCATCTAATAATCATCGATCGTCAATACTCCTGCCAGGTGGGTCAACCTGACTTTATTGCATATGAAAACGCTGAGGTTAAGTGACTCGATAATTTTCTGTAGGCAGGGACTGGCTGGAGGTGCAGTGAAAGGAATCAGGGCTCTTTCCTCTTTGGGAGGGGCTAGACCTGATCACTTTAAGCAGAGGTATTTTGCCGTTAGTAAGCTCTGAGGTTACCTGGAATTCATCTAGAAAGGGAGCTGATGAATTATGAGGATACTTTCTTCATTAATCAGCTTAGTAAGAGTGACCATTTTTTAGGCACCAGATGTGTGTGAGGGGTTGCATTTCCTGTTACTAATCCTCACAACGGTCTTAAAAGGCGTGCATGTCTGTTTTATATGTAATGAAACCAAGGCTATAGATTTAAGAAGCTTGCCAACCTCACACAGCCTCTAGGATACCTAGCCAGGAGCAGAGCCCAACCAGGACTCCAAGCCAGCTGGCCCAGGGAGCACGGTCTTTACCCTCCGTGCACGCA